GAATTTTTGGTGGCCTGGTATGAAGAAAGACATTGCCGAATTTGTCTCTAAGTGTCTCATTTGTCAGAAGGTAAAGATTGAGCATCAAAAGCCTTCTGGTATGTTGCAACCTCTGGATGTTCCTGAATGGAAATGGGAGAATATCTCCATGGATTTCGTAGTGGGATTGCCGCGAACACAGGCTAGTTATGATTCTATATGGGTGATTGTGGATAGATTGACAAAATCCGCACACTTTTTGCCAGTTCGGGGAGATTTCTCTGCGGAGAGATTGGCTAGGCTCTATGTGAAGGAGATTGTGAGGCTTCATGGGGTGCCTGAGAGCATTGTTAGTGATCGGGACCCGAAGTTCACTTCTCGCTTCTGGGGAGCATTGCAGGAGGCTCTTGGCACTCAGTTGAGACTGAGCACTGCTTATCACCCACAGACGGATGGTCAGACTGAGAGGACCATTCAGACGTTGGAGGATATGCTGAGGGCTTGCACCCTGGAGCAGGGTACTGCATGGGATCGATATCTCCCGCTGGTTGAGTTTTCATATAATAATAGTTTCCATGCTAGTCTGGGTATGGCTCCCTACGAGGCCTTGTATGGTCGCAGGTGTAGGACACCTACTTGTTGGTCAGAGGTTGGAGACACAGAGCGGTTTGGATTGGATTTTGTTCAGGAGACTACTGAGCAGATCAAAATGATTAGGGATCGTCTGAAAAAGGCTCAAGATCGTCAGAAAAGTTACTATGATCTCAAGCACCGGCCTCTAGAGTTTGAGGAGGGAGATCATGTGTTCCTGAAGCTGTCACCAGTTACGGGTGTGGGACGAGCCCTTGGAGTGAGGAAGCTGAGTCCGAGATTTATTGGACCCTACCAGATTCTTCGTAGGGTGGGACCGGTTGCCTACCAGCTTGCCTTACCTCCGCAATTGGCAAATTTGCATGATGTGTTTCATGTTTCTCAGCTGAGGAAATATGTAGCTGATCCTTCTCATGTGGTTCAACCTGATAAGGTTGAAATCCGGGAGAATTTGAAGACTCCGATTGGACCACTGAAGATACTCGAAAGAGATGAGAAGAAGCTGAGAAATGGGAAGGAAGGACGCCTGAAGAGTCCACTTGGGAGCGGGAAGATGAGCTTCTCCGGCAGTATCCTGAGTTTAAGGACAGGTACGTTCTTGATTTTGCGGACAAAATCGCTAAAAAGGTGGGGTGACTATAATAGCCCATATTAATTAATTAGGAAATCAAGTGTAATTAATTAATTAAACATGTTTTACTGGGTGAAATTAAGTATGAGGCTTAATAAAATGAATCTGAGTCACTTTGGAGTTAAAAAGTGTACTCAGTGAAAATTAAGGGGTATAAATGGGTACTGTCAAAAGTACCCAAAATATAAAAATAAAAATAGTAATATTCCTAGAATAATATTCCAGACTTTTGGGTAAAGTTTGGTAATTATTGGAGTTAAATAGATAGACGAACCAATACTCGCTTAGAGCCACTTAACCTATGTTAAGTGACTTAAGTCACCAAATGACCCTCATTTCCCACCCAGCCCGTCGACGCCCAGAAAGAAGAGAAGAGAAGAGGAAGGGAGGGAGAGAGAGAAAGAAAACCTAGGTTGTGTGATTTTCAACCGATTGGAGCGATTCAAAAGCCTAAATCACTTAGAATCTTCCCCTCTTTCATAATCCTAACTTTGTTTTGAGTGGGGAGCATTGTGGAGAGGGATATTGGCTCTCAAAAATTCGGCCCTTTGGTGAAAATTGGGGTTTTGAGAGTTTCTACCTCCATTGAAGCTTGAGGAGCCATCAATCCTTGGTTGTGTGACCATTGATGGTAAGATTCTAACCCTTGAACCTCATGATTCCTTGAAATTTGCATGAGTTAGGGTTTGTGAATAGTAAATTGGGATTTTTATGAAATGTAGTTGAATTAGCTATGTTCTAGGAAGAATGGAGCTTAGAGCATGTTATGGAAAATGCTAGGAATGTCATTTAATCGGTGGAAATGAGCCTAGATAGTCATTTGATAATTGTTCATAATATTGGAAAATTCATGCTTGGATTGGTTAGTATTCTAGCATGTTGAACAATTAGTGAGTTGAATGATTGATTGGATCCTTGTGATGTCTAGGATTGAGACATTTGGACCAACCGTGAGTGATCAACCATTGGAGCAAGCTATGGAGCTTGAATAGCTCATTGGAATTGGTGTATGTTTGTAAAAGTTGATTGCTGAAACTGTTGGTGAAGAACAAAGGTTGACTGAAGCATTGAGGTAAGCCTTCGGACCTTGGGTGTAATTCCCTTGACTGTTCTACCAAGCCCTGAAAGGGTGGAGGTTGTGATTGTGTATATAAATGCAATAAAATAGTATAATGCTTTGTTATACGTATGTGTATGCATTTGGTGTGGCATAGGATGGTGTTTCCCTATGTGGGTATGTTGCATGACGATGCGTAAATCATACATGGTAGTTAGCTGGCCAGTAGGACTATTTGCATCTGAGTTTCCTTAGGACAGCTTGAGAGCTCGAGGGATTTCTCCTGGAGATGTATTGCACTTTGCATAGATATGTATTTACTGCATTATTATTGTTATTGCTATTACACTGATATGGAACTGTGGGGTGGAGAGATGCTCCAAGGACCCCTGGTTTACTGGATATATTCGTATATCTCACCCCGTGTTGTGGGGACCCCCTTTCAGGTAAGGATGCTGCAGGAGCCTCTGGTGGCAAGTGGCCATACCTAGATTATGCATGAAATATGGCACTTCTTTGAGTTTATGCATGCCTTTTGTAGTTGACATGTATAGGATTTTATTTTGAAAGCCCATGATCATTTGTATATCTTGATTCATTGGATGAACTTAGCCTATGCTCATGCCTTTGGTTACACCTTTTGTTGATGGGAGCCAAGGGAATGATCATAGTGTTTTGTAAGCTAAGTTCTATGATTTGTAAAGGATATGTAATGTAAATGATGCCTACTTGGAATTCAATATATGCATGCTTGTTATGTATTGAGTTGTTGAATTGGTTGGGCTGAAAATCAATTAGGTACCCACTTCGTTTAAACTGGTAAACGATGAGAAAACAAAGGTCATGCTGCCCAAATTCTAGCTAAATCTCATGAGGAGAGGTTGGATGAGTGCTAGGATTTAGTTTTGGGGCATGGACATTTGTGGTTTGTAATGGGGATGCATTTTCCCCTAGGCTTGGACTTGAGAAATGTGGGAATTGGAATTCCCTGGCAGCGCGCTTAAGCGCCCAGGAGCGCGCCCAAGCGCCCTGCTGCCCCTGCGAGTGCCAATGCATTCTGTCTCCTCACGCTGGAGCGCCCAAGTGGGGGCTTAAGCGCCCAGGATTGCGCGCTGGAGCGCCCTGGCTCGCGCTTAAGCGCCCTTTGCTGCAGAAAGTTGGGATGCTTACTGTCCCCTCGTGTTTTAGCGCCCAGGGTGGGGCTTAAGCGCCCAGGGTTGCGCGCTTGAGCGCCCTGGTCCGCGCTTAAGCGCCCTTAGCCACTGTAGGAGGAAATGCTTCTGTCTCTGCGCGCTAAAACGTCCCAGTGGGGGCTTGAGCGCCCAGGATAGCGCGCCTGAGCGCCCTGTTGCGCGCTTAAGCGTCCATCCACACTGGAATGCCTGATGCGTACTGCCTCCGTGCGCTTAAGCGCCCAGATGGAGGCTTTAGCGCCCGATAGCGCGCGCTTGAGCGCCCGGTAGCGCGCTGAAGCGCGCTGGGCCTGTGACCAACACTCTCTTGTGTTGCTTCAAATTGTCCTAACTTGGACTACAGTGCTCCGATTTGAGCACGGTTTGAAGCCACGGGTAGCTAATGAAGAAACCTACAATATAGTAGAAGATGTGAACTAAATAAGAAGTAAATTAATGATTTAAAAAGGGAATAAGAACATGATGTTAAGCTTAATTTATCTGTTTCCGCAAGGTAATATGGTTATGATCACGAAATTGGGTATTATAAGTTCGGTACGTTTTAAAATGAAAAATTTATCCGGATTTTAATTGAACCCATGTGATTGTAACTGCGCTTAATATCATAATGCGATGTTAACAAACCGGTTCTAGAACGGGGTGTTACATCGTCAATGAGTTTTTGGGAGGTCTATGATTTACTATCTTCTATCTGTATGAAAGCGACCTCTGTGTTTCTCTGTTTCTTATGTTACTTACTTTGCCTTTGGTTGAATTCATTTTCTATCACTACATTGATCATGATTTGGTTAAGGTGACTTATACACTGATTTTAATCTTTTAGCTTTGAGTTGCATTATCCTAAATGAAAATCATGTCAAGAGGTAAGAAAAAAAAATAAAAATCTTCCGCAAGTGATAATTCAAGTTAAATTGTGTTTGGATCGACACGTGTATCAATATTTTCCATTCGAATAGAAGTGTAAAAAATTCTAGACAGTGACTCTAATACTTGCTATTTATTGTAAGAATTGATATAGGAGGACACGAATAATTGGCCAATTATGCTTTCTGATCAAAATTATCAAAACAATCTTAAATTAATAAATAAAAAAATGATAAGTAATGAAATAATGAATTATTGAAATGAATCAATTGTGAGTCTAATACAAACACACAATTGTTTTCGTGTTAGGTTTTGATAGAGGCAAACACGACTTAAAAGACGAATACAGATTAGCACATGTGGAATTAAAAATTTGAACCCTCTTCGATTTCTCTTGTATTCCTATCTAGTTACAGACTACATGACTATAGTTGTACAAAATCATTGAAACATTGCACCAATTTTCCTTAAAATATTAGTGCTTTATATAGTGTGAGAAAACAATTTTCTCAATCTCATCCATCTTTATCTACCCTCATTGAAAGATGACTAAAACCCCAATCCCACTCCACGTGTACCCTGCATGTCACACTTGTCTCCTTAAAACACTCCCTTCGTTCAATCCTTTCCTTTCTTCCCTTTTAGTTCTGTTTTCTGTCACTCACTCTCAGCAGGTTTCAGCAACATGGCTGAACATTACCCAAGCCTAACCCTCACGCAAACACCGACAAGACCCACAACCACCACCACCACCACTACCTCAGCATCATTGCATCGTAAACTTCAAGAACAAGTCTCAAACTCAACCCAACTCTTTGGCCTCTTAACTCTTCTTGTAACAGGGGCCATCTTGCTCCTCCTCACAGGCATAACCGTGGCAGCAACCATTCTGGGTCTGATCTTTTTCACGCCACTGATCATCGTGACGAGCCCAATATGGGTCCCAGCTTTCGCCATTTTCTTCCTCTTCACAGCAGGGTTCTTATCCATGTGCGGGTTTGGCGTTGTTGTAGTTGCTGTGTTCTCCTGGATGTACCGTTACTTCAGGGGACTCCGACTGGCCGGTTCGGACCGGGTCTACTACGCACGTAACCGGTTTAACGACATTGCGAGCCATGTCATAGACTACGGAGGTTATATGCAGAGAAAGGCAATGGATGCTGCGCCTGGAGCTTGACTGAGGAGAGAACCGAGCCACTGCAGATTGTAAGAGCCGAATCGGTTCGGTTTTATGAATTGGATCGTCTTAAGTTCCCTTCTTTTTATTCTCGTACGTGGGTAACAAAAATTTGTAAGAAAACCGTGGTAAAAAAAAAAAAAACAAAAAAACTGATACAATTATAAAAATAAATAAATAATGGTGGGTTTACCTTCTTTTATGAACGGGTTGAAAATTCTAACTCATTTCGTTTAATCCATTTTTTGCTGTCTCGACTCGGGGTTAAATTTATTTAATCCATCTTTATACGGGACTAGTTGTAATGGATGGATTGAAATTTATAATTCAGAGTCGTTTTGTCAATTTTATTTATAATTTTACATTTTTATTTTAATTATTTTTTAAGGATTGTTTGCATGTGCCCATTTACCATGAGACTCAAAGAAATGAGAATGTATATAGAAAAAGAGTAAATACCATTTTTGGTCCTTAACAAAAAATACGGTCCCCACTTTAGTCTCTTGCAAAAATAAATTAGTCGGTTAGTTCCTAACAAATTCAAAGTGGACCCATTTTAGTCCTTTTGAGGGACTGATATGAGTCTTTTTTGAATTTGTGAGGAACCACGATTTCAACTAAATGGGTCCACTTTGAATTTGTTAGGAACTAACTGACTAATTTATTTTTGTAAAAAGACTAAAGTGAGGACTGTATTTTTTTGTTAGGGACCAAAAAGAGTATTTATTTATAGAAAAATGATTGAATTCAACCCTTTCATTAAAAGATTTTATACAAAAAGCAATAATTGCCTCGTAACTATAAAATATAAATAATGAATAATAAATGCTATCTGAAGTGACAGAGATAAAAGCAATCTTATTAAAACCGGCCCGGTCAATGACCTGGTCGAGGTACTGGGTTACTGGGCACTAGTTCAATCAGTGGGTCACTGGTTCAACCGCATGACCCGGTGATTATATACAAATCTATAATTTATATTTAAAAAAAAGTATAAATATACTCAAATAGATGAGAAAATAATATAAATTCTAAATATTTAATATAAAAATAATAAATTATACATTATTGTCCAATAAAGGATCAAACAAACATATAATGCTTGTTATATTGGTGTTTCAGGTTTGGTAAACGACATTTCTAACTATCAAATCAAAATTCCATGCATAGTGCATAATTGAGATAATATTAAGATTATAGGTACATAACTTATGTAAGTCAATATGTAACATATCACTCAAATATGTCAATTATGATTTATTTTTTTGAAAACTTTTTTTTTCAAAATATTTTTTTTAAAAAATTCGGGCTGGGTCACCGGTTAACCGATCGGATCACCGATTTTTCACCAAAACCGGCCGGGTCGTACCGGGTCTGATACTTGACCGGTCCAATGTGATACCCGGACCGGTCAGATGACCGGTTCATTGGGTTCCGGGTCGACCTGGCCGGTCCGGTTCGGTTTTCACAACAATGCATAAAAGTTTGGAAATGGGTTCATGCGAAGAGAAAATAATTCAATTCTTTTCAATTATTGCAATCTTTCGCGGACCTAGTCAGTTGCCAAGCAAATACAAATTTATTTTTAATAAAGAAGAAATATATTTTTTAATTAATTAAAAATATTATTCAAAGAGAAATTTTAATAGGTGCATTGTCAGATGAATGTAAGTACAGGTACTAAGAAAGAAACACATTTAAACACATCTTGTTTAATGTTTATATTTTAGTGTTGTTATATCATTAAGTTGATTATTATTTTTTTATGTTAAGTTGAATTTTTTTCTTTTATTGTTTGGAGATTATATACCTCATGTTATATGAATGAAATTTTTTTTCATGTTAAGAAAAAAGATAAGTTATATAATATTAAAGAAAGTAAGAGAACATATTATTCAATGAATTTGTCTTGTCTTTTTTTTAGCATGACAAAAAATTTGATTCGTGTAACGTGAGATATAAATCTCTTTTTAATTATATTCTTTTATTTTTTAATATATTTAAAACTTAAAAAAAAAAAAAAAAATTTGGGAGCACTACCCCGCAAATCTCCGCCACAAAATATACAAATAAATTTATTTTTTTTTGCATCCGTCACTGTATTTTGCAACTACGTTCTATCATTGAGTGTTTACAGGTCGCATTGACTATTTGAACCTAAAAATTCAAACTGATCTAATTTAATTATTTTGGGATAGTATGAGTAACTGGGTTATTTCAAGTGAAACTCGATTAAAATTAATTAAAATCCATTTCTATTAGTTTGGTTTTTCAGGTTTATGATTTTTTAAGCTGAGATAGAGTACCCTGCCCGTTGACCATTTTGGTTGTTCATGAACTGTGTGCCTCCTGTCAATTGTTGTGATCATAACACTACTAAAAAATGTATTTTTTTCGACGGAAAAATTCTGTCGAAAATGGTTAAAATTCCGTCGAAAATGATCACAATCAGAAGAGCTTGTGTCCTATCCTTTAGCAGGCTCCTTACCCTTACTCTTACCCTTGGTCTTGCTAGGCCCACCAATCAGAAGAGCTTGTGTCCTATCCTTTTTGATAGACACTTCAGCAGTTGTTAACATACTTAACAATTCAGGCAAGCTCACAAGCATCTCATGCATGTTATAATTCATTATGAATTGACTGAAGGAAGGTGGAAGTGAGGCCAGGACTAAGTCATTACTCAGTTCGACATCCATCAAGAAGCCTAGATTTCCTAGCTTCTCAATCAGCCCGATTATCTTAAGAACATGACTGCTAACAGACATGTTCTCAGACATCCTGCAAGAGAACAGTTCTCTAGAGGCCTCATACCTCTCATGCCTGCCTTTAACGTCATACAACTCCTTGAGATGTAAGACAATAGAGGGAGCATCCATATGCTCATGCTGCTTTTGCAGTTCAGCCGACATGGATGCCAACATGATGCATACTGCCATCGTATCGTCATCCATGTGTTGTTTGTGGGCCTCAAAATCATATTCCGCGAACCCATCTTCCCCTTCCCTAGGAGCTACGGGTAATGCACCATCAAGAACGTAGGCAATCTTTTCGGCCCTAAGAACAATTCTCAGGTTCCGATACCAGTCCATAAAGTTTCAACCGGTCAGTTTATTCGTATCAAGTATTGAGCGCAGTGACAGTGGATTAGTCATACTAAAAACTGAAAAAAATGTAAAGAAAGATTAATTAATATATTGTCGTGTTACAATTTATTAAAGACTTTAAATAAATTGCCCCTCCCACTATTTTATCTAAGTCAATGACCCTTACCATTTGACTTAGGGTTAATGTACTTTTAGATTTTACCTTAGTAAGATTAAGAGTGCGATTATTTATTTTAACCCTCGTCTGAGACCGCAAGATTAAATAATGGGTTGATCCTAATCAACAGTATCTCATACCCTCTCTTAACATTAGGTTGACAACTCCTTGCCACTTAGTGGTGTATCTCATGCAACCAACCTAGCATTATTACCCTAAGCCCATAAGCCTGGCTGGGCCTGCAACTTATGTCTCAGTTAAGCATTAACCAGCACCCTAAGTGTCTAACACTTCTAATACTACTCTTACTCAACGAAACAGTGGGTCCCAACTGAGTTTTGGAGCACCACTATGTAGAGGAGGTTCGAGTAATATTGGTGGTGGGAGGTAATCATATGCTTAATAATTTATTCCTTTTAAGGGTTCCTTTTATTTAGGGATTTTATTAGGTCTGATCAAACGCATTAATATATTATCATGCTAGTCGTAACCTATGTCATACATCTAACGGTTTAAACTAGTCGCAATTGGACTTGCATAATAATCATACAAACGCGATTTAGTCCAACTCATGCATACTAGACATCATAAGCCATAAAACATACATATCGCGATACTCTATCTCATGCATACTAGTCGTATAATAACATACATGCAAATAAAACAGTTTTATTTTGAGATAGTCATGGTGCTCGATCTTTTGTCCATCTTGCTTCTCAAGCTACGACTTCTTGTCGTCTATACGCCACTAGCCTAATTTCTCTAATTACAATTAAAGAAACTCCAAAACATCTTGGAGGGAAAAAATTTAAAATACAAAATTTAAATTACAAAATTTGAAATTCAAATTACATCTCTTTTAAAATAGCCCAAAATTACACATTAATTTAAAATTTCAAATTTCAAATTTCGGGCACCATGACCATCCCCTTCCTCATTTGCACCTGAAATGTTAGACAACTCACAAGTACAAAAATATTATCATATAATATATTTTTCACGTATGTCTTGATATTTAACAATTAAATATTAAAACATAATTAAAATTCAAAACTTTTTCTTAATTCTTCAATTGGCCAAATTATATAACAATTTATTATAATTCAAATTTTGTTGACTCTTTCTCAAAGAACACAAAATTAAACCAATCTTGTAGCCATTAACATGTTAATGGCCGAACCATATACCTTGTGCATATGATATAAATTTTCGAAAAATTTAATGTCATGCACATGAAACAATTCATGGAGAAAAATAAGAAAACAATCAAGGTGTTCAAAACACCTTTCACGGTCGAACTCCACCCTTCAAAAAGGTGTTTCCTTTTTAAAACTTTCATAAAGTAAAAGACAACCATGTATACATATGGATTCATGAACATAGCATTCGAAATAACATGTTCATAAAAAACGAAAACTTTAACTGTTTAAAGTATTGTAAATTGAAATCCATACGTAAAAATTGAATCTTTAACTTTTAAAGAAATTTTAACCGTGAAAAATATGATCACAAACAAGGTACCATCACCCGTCTATGGTAAAGAAACCGGGCTCTGATACCACTTGAAAGTTCGAATTGGCCTTGAAGGCCGTAGCATGTGAGAGGGAAAAAAAAAAATTTTCCGCAAGCGGAATACACATGCATGTGAAGATACATACTTTAAGACGTATGTCATACATTGTTCGTGAAAACTCAAGATGATCAAGGTAGGTCTGAAGGGTTCAGACCCTCTAACGTTG